AAATTAAAACATTTAGAAAGCAAGAAAAAGAAAACTAACTACCAAAAAGAAAGAATAGAATATATCAAAGGCGAAATTAAGACTATTACCGAACAAGAAAAAGATAGAGAAAGGGCTAACCAAAGTTCTTAATTCAATTAATCCAAATGCTTCTAAAAAAGATCGCATAATGCATCATAATTTAAGTGAAAGAATAAAAAGATTGTCCGGTAAATTTTATGCTTTGCCTAGCCAAGCACCGATAATTTTATTAGATGAATTCGAAAAAGTTAAAGAAGAAACAGTGATGTTCGTAGTAGGTCAAATGACCGATAGAGAAATTAACTCTAATTATTGAGATGAATTTTTAGAATGGGAAGTAGACTTAAGCCAAACCATAATTATGCTGACTGCTAATTACTGGGATAGGGTTCCTGACTTTGTGCGTTCCCGTTGTAAAAGAGTGAATATTCAATTATTATCCTTTAAAGAACGGATGGATATTTTAAGAAATAGAAGAGATGCTTTTGTAAGGGAATATTTCCCTAGCAATATTGTCGGGAAAGAAGCTATCAACGGAATTGAAATCAAATACGATGAAGATGAATACAATAAAAACCACGAACCTAATACTTTTACCGAGGAACAACAAAAAATTCGGGAAAGAGTAAATGATGACTTTTTAAGAATGTGCATTACTGAGGAATTCGGAATACGAGGAGGGATTATGAATCTGGTTAGTGCTTTTAATTTCTTAATTACTTTTAAAGTGCGGAAATTATTAGACAAAATGCCTTATTTAGACCAACCAACTGGCAATAATTCGCCCTATAAGAACGGAAAGTGGTTTAACGTCAGTCAAGAGGGAGAAGGAACTCTTAATTTGAATTATGAAGTAAATGGGAAGAACTATTTATTGGCTTTAACTCAAAAGCGGGATGTAGAAGAAATTAAAGCAGTTAAAAAAGAAGCCGTGGCAGGATATGAAAGTGTGCTAAACTTGGTTGAAGATTGAAAAAACCATCAAGGAGAACTTACTTATAAAAAGGATTGAAAACCAATTGTAAAACTAGAAGCAGAAGAAAAAGACACGGACGAAACAATAGAATTAATTGAGAATTTATTCAAACCAGATTATTTAGAAGTTAAAATTAGTCAAGTAGTAACCAAATTGAAGTATAACGATGACTGAGGTTATGTCCTACGCTTTGCTGAAAATCTTAAAATGCAAGAAGAGGAAATTGACCGCTTATGATTAAACAAAAATGTCGCGGCAGAAATTGGAATCCAAGCTGAAATAAATTATCAGCCAAATCCAAAACAATTTTATTTAATGAAAAAATTTCTCCGAGAAAGAATAAAAAAAGAAAGGTTAGATCTAGTGGTTAATTTTAGAAAACAAAGAATTATTACTCCGGAAGAATACAATGGTTTAATTGATTAAAGTATGAGTAATAAGAATTTAGAAGAATTAGAGAATCAAGAAATAGACGAGGACCTAACAGACACAGATATAGATGATGATTTTGACCGCTATGACTGTGTACTTTTAGAATGCAAAGTGTGTGGGGTGGAATACAGCGAAAGTATGGGACATGAATGCATGGAGCCTGAAAAAGAACCTGATGAGTTTGAGGATAATGATCCTGATAGCTACGAAACTATTTATTGTGAACCTACTTGCCCGAATTGTGGCAGAGATGAAAATGAGTGCGTCGGAAGATGCGACGACTCCGAAGAAATGGAACCCGAACCAATCGAGGAGGAATTTGAACCATCAGCCGACTTTTGCTGAACTCATAAGACAGAAGATGACTGTAAAAAAGAATAAAATGACTAAAAAATGAAAATTAAGACTGATTGCCTGGTCGATTACTACGCCTTTCATCGTAGCAATTTATTTTTTTGGTTGAAAAGTATTAGGTATATCCGCATCCGGATTAGGAGTGATGGCGATTATTCTTAAAGGCATTAGTGATATTATTATTGAATTAATAATTACCAACAAAAAAAATAAAACAAATCAGCATGAATAAAAAAAACTTAAAAATTTTAGGACAATCTGACGATTATAAAATTAATCCAAATGATACAGTCCTAGAAGAAACCAAAACATTAACATCTAGAGATATTGAAAAAGGAATCTGTGAAAAATGCGGAATAACTAATCATCAAGAAAAAGAAGAAGAAAACGTCAACATTACAGTATTTTCCGACGGAACTGAAACTAAAGCATTCTGCGACGACTGCTTGGGAACTATAAAAATAGAAACTTAATATGCTTACGAGAATAAGGGCAAGAAAACTTATTCTGCAAAATACTTTTTAAAAAACACTTCCTCACATACCCGAGCATGCGTGAAGGAGTGCAGAACAAGATAAAAAAAACAAAAAAATTAAAAAAAAAGATAAAAGAAATTCTTATTAAGAACTTTTGCTGAACCAACCATTCAAAAATTTTTTTTTACAACCTTATTTAGGTCAAAAAATATTCTTCCGACAAAAGGAAACTTATGTCGCGAACTAAAAGGTTAAAACAACTTAAAACCTACTTGATTCAACAATAAAGTAGAAAAGTTAAATTGTTTGGTCGAAAGTTAATAATAATTGATAATAAAAGGGAAAAAAATGCCATTCAAAGATTTAAAAAAGAAAAAAGAATATCACAGAAAATGAATAGCAGCCAAAAGAGCTGGACTGAATACATCAGAAAAAGATAATTATTCAAAAAATAAACTCATAAAATTTACCGACCAGGAAATCTTCGCAGAAGCAGAAAAAAGAAAAAAACTGAACTTAATCAGAAAAGAGCCGAAAGAAGAAGGTTGGCTAGGTTGAGACAAAATGACCAGTCTGCGGTTGAGACACAAAATAAGGTTGAGCCATTAGAAAAGGTTGAGACCGGGCTAGGACAGATTAAGGTTGAGACACCTGAACAGGTTGAGACCAAAGAGGGGTTAGGACAGGTTGAGACATTAAATAATCATATTGGGGTTGAGACAATCGCTAAGGTTGAGACAGTATCTGAACTCATCGAGAAGGTTGAGACAATAGAAATTAAAAAAGAGGCTGAAGTTGCTTTTAAAAATCAAGAAAAGAAATCAACAGAAAAATCTGAAAGCGAACTAAATAATACTAAAACTAGCCATGAACTCCAAGAAACTAAACTCTGCTTTCATTGTCCGGGATTAAAAAACTCCATTGCCGAAAAGCAAACCGAGATTAAGGATCTAAAAAGGATTGTTCAGAAACAAAATAAAGAATTAGCTATTAAATACCAGCAAGAAAAACAACTTGCCAATAAAACAGAAAATAATAAGCCTTGCCAACTCAATCATTATTCTTTAAGTGAATTATTTAGACAAGCAATCGTGCAAGTAAAACAGGCTTGACAAGAAATAATTCAGCAAGAAGGAGCAAGACAATGCTGGAACTGCCATAATTCCCAAAGAAATCACCAACTAGCAATAAATTTATTAGAAAAATATTGAGATAAAGAGAAAAAACTCGAAAAACGCTTACTTAACATGTCATGCCAAGGAATATAATAAAAATAACCGAATTACAAAAGAAAATTAACGAACAAACTCAAGAATTAGCGAAATATAAGCAATTAATAGCGAATATTGAAGGACTAATAAGAATAAACAACCAAAGGGGACGAATAGATTTATTAGCAGAGAAATATAAACCAAATGAACAGGAATTATTAGAATTAGCAAAGCGAACAAGAGGAATTAGTCCTAATGATCCAACAAAATGGCAAGTAGTATTAACTGAATCCGGTCAAGCAGAAAGAGATAGAATGGCTGAGGATAACCCGCAACAGAAAATAGAAAATCTTTTAGAAGATCTAGAGAAGGAAGGATTAAGGCTAATAATGCCAACAGACGGAGAATACAAAGCTATTATTATAAAAAGGTCCGATTTTAATGACCGGTTTTTTAAAAGCAATAGAGAAGCTTTAAACGATTTTGAAAAAGCTTGCGATAACTTTATGAATAGCTCGCGAGGAAAAGAATTAGAGCAAGTACACGCAAAGAGAATTAAAAAAAGAGAAGATGGAATAAAGGAAAAAGAGAAAGCGAAACCAAAACGGGAAAAGCCAAACAGAACTTTTTTTGATTTAGAAGAGGCGATAAGCAATTATTGGGCAAAGTATGAAGTCGAAACCAAAACTTGGTGAACGCTCATTAATTATAAAGATAAAGATTTTTATATTCTGGTTCGGGATGTTCTAAAGCCAAATCAAAATTAATGCTTTCGCTGACTCTTAATCCTGCTTTTCAGCCTAATAAAAAAAGACTTTCGTGCTGATCTCGTTTACTTTCTCCCTTTTTATTAGGTCTGGTGGCTAAATATTCTCAAACTTGCTCTAAAATTTGCTGGGTGGGTAAGATAGTTAGCGGTCTTTTATTTTTGTTCATTTGATATTGATACTGGTTCTTTTCCTTCCTCTTCCCACATCCTTACTTGTTCTTTAATATTTTTGATCGCTCTTTTTTCTGCTCGTTTATTTTCGTTCGGGTCGAATGGTCCTTCGTCGAAAAAAACTTTATCTTTATAATTAATGAGCGTTCACCAAGTTTTGGTTTCGACTTCATACTTTGCCCAATAATTGCTTATCGCCTCTTCTAAATCAAAAAAAGTTCTGTTTGGCTTTTCCCGTTTTGGTTTCGCTTTCTCTTTTTCCTTTATTCCATCTTCTCTTTTTTTAATTCTCTTTGCGTGTACTTGCTCTAATTCTTTTCCTCGCGAGCTATTCATAAAGTTATCGCAAGCTTTTTCAAAATCGTTTAAAGCTTCTCTATTGCTTTTAAAAAACCGGTCATTAAAATCGGACCTTTTTATAATAATAGCTTTGTATTCTCCGTCTGTTGGCATTATTAGCCTTAATCCTTCCTTCTCTAGATCTTCTAAAAGATTTTCTATTTTCTGTTGCGGGTTATCCTCAGCCATTCTATCTCTTTCTGCTTGACCGGATTCAGTTAATACTACTTGCCATTTTGTTGGATCATTAGGACTAATTCCTCTTGTTCGCTTTGCTAATTCTAATAATTCCTGTTCATTTGGTTTATATTTCTCTGCTAATAAATCTATTCGTCCCCTTTGGTTGTTTATTCTTATTAGTCCTTCAATATTCGCTATTAATTGCTTATATTTCGCTAATTCTTGAGTTTGTTCGTTAATTTTCTTTTGTAATTCGGTTATTTTTATTATATTCCTTGGCATGACATGTTAAGTAAGCGTTTTTCGAGTTTTTTCTCTTTATCTCAATATTTTTCTAATAAATTTATTGCTAGTTGGTGATTTCTTTGGGAATTATGGCAGTTCCAGCATTGTCTTGCTCCTTCTTGCTGAATTATTTCTTGTCAAGCCTGTTTTACTTGCACGATTGCTTGTCTAAATAATTCACTTAAAGAATAATGATTGAGTTGGCAAGGCTTATTATTTTCTGTTTTATTGGCAAGTTGTTTTTCTTGCTGGTATTTAATAGCTAATTCTTTATTTTGTTTCTGAACAATCCTTTTTAGATCCTTAATCTCGGTTTGCTTTTCGGCAATGGAGTTTTTTAATCCCGGACAATGAAAGCAGAGTTTAGTTTCTTGGAGTTCATGGCTAGTTTTAGTATTATTTAGTTCGCTTTCAGATTTTTCTGTTGATTTCTTTTCTTGATTTTTAAAAGCAACTTCAGCCTCTTTTTTAATTTCTATTGTCTCAACCTTCTCGATGAGTTCAGATACTGTCTCAACCTTAGCGATTGTCTCAACCCCAATATGATTATTTAATGTCTCAACCTGTCCTAACCCCTCTTTGGTCTCAACCTGTTCAGGTGTCTCAACCTTAATCTGTCCTAGCCCGGTCTCAACCTTTTCTAATGGCTCAACCTTATTTTGTGTCTCAACCGCAGACTGGTCATTTTGTCTCAACCTAGCCAACCTTCTTCTTTCGGCTCTTTTCTGATTAAGTTCAGTTTTTTTCTTTTTTCTGCTTCTGCGAAGATTTCCTGGTCGGTAAATTTTATGAGTTTATTTTTTGAATAATTATCTTTTTCTGATGTATTCAGTCCAGCTCTTTTGGCTGCTATTCATTTTCTGTGATATTCTTTTTTCTTTTTTAAATCTTTGAATGGCATTTTTTTCCCTTTTATTATCAATTATTATTAACTTTCGACCAAACAATTTAACTTTTCTACTTTATTGTTGAATCAAGTAGGTTTTAAGTTGTTTTAACCTTTTAGTTCGCGACATAAGTTTCCTTTTGTCGGAAGAATATTTTTTGACCTAAATAAGGTTGTAAAAAAAAATTTTTGAATGGTTGGTTCAGCAAAAGTTCTTAATAAGAATTTCTTTTATCTTTTTTTTTAATTTTTTTGTTTTTTTTATCTTGTTCTGCACTCCTTCACGCATGCTCGGGTATGTGAGGAAGTGTTTTTTAAAAAGTATTTTGCAGAATAAGTTTTCTTGCCCTTATTCTCGTAAGCATATTAAGTTTCTATTTTTATAGTTCCCAAGCAGTCGTCGCAGAATGCTTTAGTTTCAGTTCCGTCGGAAAATACTGTAATGTTGACGTTTTCTTCTTCTTTTTCTTGATGATTAGTTATTCCGCATTTTTCACAGATTCCTTTTTCAATATCTCTAGATGTTAATGTTTTGGTTTCTTCTAGGACTGTATCATTTGGATTAATTTTATAATCGTCAGATTGTCCTAAAATTTTTAAGTTTTTTTTATTCATGCTGATTTGTTTTATTTTTTTTGTTGGTAATTATTAATTCAATAATAATATCACTAATGCCTTTAAGAATAATCGCCATCACTCCTAATCCGGATGCGGATATACCTAATACTTTTCAACCAAAAAAATAAATTGCTACGATGAAAGGCGTAGTAATCGACCAGGCAATCAGTCTTAATTTTCATTTTTTAGTCATTTTATTCTTTTTTACAGTCATCTTCTGTCTTATGAGTTCAGCAAAAGTCGGCTGATGGTTCAAATTCCTCCTCGATTGGTTCGGGTTCCATTTCTTCGGAGTCGTCGCATCTTCCGACGCACTCATTTTCATCTCTGCCACAATTCGGGCAAGTAGGTTCACAATAAATAGTTTCGTAGCTATCAGGATCATTATCCTCAAACTCATCAGGTTCTTTTTCAGGCTCCATGCATTCATGTCCCATACTTTCGCTGTATTCCACCCCACACACTTTGCATTCTAAAAGTACACAGTCATAGCGGTCAAAATCATCATCTATATCTGTGTCTGTTAGGTCCTCGTCTATTTCTTGATTCTCTAATTCTTCTAAATTCTTATTACTCATACTTTAATCAATTAAACCATTGTATTCTTCCGGAGTAATAATTCTTTGTTTTCTAAAATTAACCACTAGATCTAACCTTTCTTTTTTTATTCTTTCTCGGAGAAATTTTTTCATTAAATAAAATTGTTTTGGATTTGGCTGATAATTTATTTCAGCTTGGATTCCAATTTCTGCCGCGACATTTTTGTTTAATCATAAGCGGTCAATTTCCTCTTCTTGCATTTTAAGATTTTCAGCAAAGCGTAGGACATAACCTCAGTCATCGTTATACTTCAATTTGGTTACTACTTGACTAATTTTAACTTCTAAATAATCTGGTTTGAATAAATTCTCAATTAATTCTATTGTTTCGTCCGTGTCTTTTTCTTCTGCTTCTAGTTTTACAATTGGTTTTCAATCCTTTTTATAAGTAAGTTCTCCTTGATGGTTTTTTCAATCTTCAACCAAGTTTAGCACACTTTCATATCCTGCCACGGCTTCTTTTTTAACTGCTTTAATTTCTTCTACATCCCGCTTTTGAGTTAAAGCCAATAAATAGTTCTTCCCATTTACTTCATAATTCAAATTAAGAGTTCCTTCTCCCTCTTGACTGACGTTAAACCACTTTCCGTTCTTATAGGGCGAATTATTGCCAGTTGGTTGGTCTAAATAAGGCATTTTGTCTAATAATTTCCGCACTTTAAAAGTAATTAAGAAATTAAAAGCACTAACCAGATTCATAATCCCTCCTCGTATTCCGAATTCCTCAGTAATGCACATTCTTAAAAAGTCATCATTTACTCTTTCCCGAATTTTTTGTTGTTCCTCGGTAAAAGTATTAGGTTCGTGGTTTTTATTGTATTCATCTTCATCGTATTTGATTTCAATTCCGTTGATAGCTTCTTTCCCGACAATATTGCTAGGGAAATATTCCCTTACAAAAGCATCTCTTCTATTTCTTAAAATATCCATCCGTTCTTTAAAGGATAATAATTGAATATTCACTCTTTTACAACGGGAACGCACAAAGTCAGGAACCCTATCCCAGTAATTAGCAGTCAGCATAATTATGGTTTGGCTTAAGTCTACTTCCCATTCTAAAAATTCATCTCAATAATTAGAGTTAATTTCTCTATCGGTCATTTGACCTACTACGAACATCACTGTTTCTTCTTTAACTTTTTCGAATTCATCTAATAAAATTATCGGTGCTTGGCTAGGCAAAGCATAAAATTTACCGGACAATCTTTTTATTCTTTCACTTAAATTATGATGCATTATGCGATCTTTTTTAGAAGCATTTGGATTAATTGAATTAAGAACTTTGGTTAGCCCTTTCTCTATCTTTTTCTTGTTCGGTAATAGTCTTAATTTCGCCTTTGATATATTCTATTCTTTCTTTTTGGTAGTTAGTTTTCTTTTTCTTGCTTTCTAAATGTTTTAATTT